TGCATGAAAACTAGTAACAAGATTTCAAGAGAAAGTTTTCCCTCATCATAAAACGACATGACAATTCGCATACTGATTGAATTAGTACTGACTCTGTAAATGCTAATTGACTATGATAAAAAAAAATCAGTTTTTTCGATACTTTCCTACATTGGGCGGCTTKAGAACTTGCAGAGAAGAATATCATTGACGTGACTTATGGCGGTCAGGTATCATGTTYGGCTCTCCACCCACCTCAGCTAATACCGCGGTCATTTAACGTCTTTTATGATAACACCGCTCATTTAGAAAATYCATATAAACGATTTCAACAGAGATTTATAGGACCAGTGATAACGGATGATGTTCTTGTAGATGTTACCGAAAATAATTTACCGATTACCTTTTTTTTTTCAAGAATATATTTTTAAAGATCGCAAATTTGAACGATAGTTATAATAATTTTATTTTATGATGTGATTAACATTTTTATATTATATTATTGTCTTCCTGAAGAAAGAAAAGGGRCTGGGATTTGCTCTATTTTTTCAGRAAAAATGGGATTGAATGCACTAGGACTGGGGTATAAATACAAGAACAATAWAGAAAGTGGGAATGGGATTGAAAAGCTGAACAAAACYGGTGAGATTATATGRTGTTTAAGTGGGATTTGGTCGAAATTAATAAAATGGTAAAAGGAAATCCCATGCCTACCCCCGTGCCCCTTCAGGATCCTTTATTGTTATCATCAACATCATTATTTATTGCTTTATCCATTGTTAAGAAATAGTTCTGAAAAGAAATAACAATTATTCAAGTGCTAGGTCGTTATGGTTTCAATTTATTTATGATGATGACGAAAATATTTCTTTCCTCTGAAAATAAATAAGTACTGTATTTTACCCCTATAGCAAGAAGATTATTATTCTAGAAAACATGAAGCCTCAAGCACATAAAAGTCATATTATAGTTAAATATTATCCTTTTAGTTTTAATTAATAGATATACTCGCATAAATAGTCACAGTACAGAGTAAAAAACTTAAAGAACTGAAGATCGAACGGCTCTTACTGTTTAAAAAAAGCCAAGATTAACAAAAAAGTCTGTCATTACCAAATGATAATATCAAGAGAGATTCTCTTTCTATGAATGCGCTGTTTGCGCAACGGAATCTGTGTTTATCTTCTACTTAATAAACTTGAAAAACTCGAATTTYAAGCTTCGTGATATACGGTTTTGATATATGGCACACCTAGCCTTTGGGCCATGGAATATAACACTCTTGTGGAGTAAGTGTGCGACATCAAATGCGCTAGCTCATTTAAATCTAAGCGCTATGATAAACCGAAAATATACTTCATAGTGGCTGCGCGATAACARATTGAGCAGGAAAGTGCTTCAATTCTATCAAGGCTGAAGTAGTTTGCTTTCTTAATCCAATATTTATGCTACAAATTACTTATTTTGAGAAAAAAGAGACGGTATGGTTGTTTGTTGATGACTTTGAAATAAGTGTCGCGTCCTTTTGCGGCATTTATTGACGARCAATCTTCYTTTAAACGTTATATTGACATTGGTTSTAGCTTTTAACGATAGCTACATTGATATTTAAATCAATGATTATTGAATTCCCGGAGAAATGTTGGGATAAAGTTGGAATTGATTTCTTTCTTCCTRAGTTTTAAGTCTGATCTTTGATAGATTTTTTTAGCAATTTTCGTAGTCATGAGTCAATTTGATTGATTTCTTTTGTTTCTCATTTTTTTTCTCTTTGCTTCCTTGTCTCGTTTAAATACGTTTTCGACTATTTTTGCAGGTCCATAACCAGCTATAAACATTTAATCAATATTGTACTCATGATAAGACTTTTCAAAGCCGAGTTGCACGWATAATAAGACGCCCAAATTCAAAACAAAARTAATACATTTGAAGATGTAGTGCTGTGAACGATAAAAAGTCTTCATCCATGTTTTAAAACCAGGCTGTTATGTTTAAAATTAACTCAAGAGGGTTTTTCATATTTACGTAATGCTAAATGCGATWATGTAAACAGTACATTTAACTTGTAATTTGGATAGTTTTTTTACCTACCTCTTGTTTTTAGTAACCGTCACATAAGAAAGTGGTTATTTTTCAAATGAGCACTCACMGTTCTATCTTTATTCTGAATAATTACATGGTAGGATAATGAATGATCCGTTATCGCCTCCGGGAATATATACCTCGCGATATATTGATTGAAGAATAGCATCTCTCTTCGAAACAAATACCGTSATTACCGTATTTRGSTGAGACAGTCTTTAACGAACCTTGGCYCTTTAAGAGGCTTCCTGTAATTTTTTTTAAGARCTCATCAAATAGCCAGCCTTAACGAACCTTACTTCCTTAATGCCAAAACCCAAACTTGAAATTTTCCAYACTTGTTTACAGCARAACARCATMAATCTGTGAWGTGAATATTTTCRYTCAATTTTSATGTTCCCATGGTGACAAAAAGTTAAGAGAGTGGTTTAAARCGTTTTTCAACCTACACACTTTAAGACACTTTAACAAGACTTCGATRAGCATTATTGAGTTAATTGTGCAAGGTCACYGGAGTTTAGGAGAAAATCTTTCAAGTGGATTTTATTTTCACTAAATGCAAAGGTTGTTGTTGTTGTTGTTCGATCAACTTGCAATGAGAACAATTTRAAGACGGCTTTTTAATCAACTATTTTTTTTTAAATAACTATTCCAGACAAACTACGGCCCTGTAAAAATTTAGTATTTTTACTTGGACGTGTCATTTTTACTAACAAAGTTTTTTGTCTACTTTTATTGCGTGATCGTCAAGCTGTGTGTCAATTCTACGCTTCTTTCTCGCTGTTGATTTAAGTATTCGTGGGTTCCACATTACGTCATCGCCGCCATGTTGGATGACGATAACAAAGCATTCCTCATTAGTTTCGCTTGTTCAGTCATCCAAAATGGCGGTGATATCTTTGCTCTTAATTTAATTCTCCAGGGATTCTTGATCATGCAGTTGCAACCCAAGAATTCGGATAACTTCTCAAGTTTTTAATTGACTACCTTTTTAATGCGAACGTCCTTCCTTGTCCTAAGCATATGATGATCTACCGCTGAGCTTTCAGTTTGTGTACTCAACTTCAATAAGAACTACAACGAAGTTGCTGACCAACTAGCAGGTATCGCCCAGCCTATCGGGGAGATGAATTTGTACCCGGAGGACGTCATGAATAGGTTGAAGGAAGAAATGGACAAGGAAAAAGATCAATTTAAAACATGGTGGTCAATCAGTAGATTGAAGGACAGAGAAATTAAGTTTGGTGCTGGGGCAAGAAAGTCCACAAGAAAAAAAGGAACAAAAATAGAAACCCAAGAAACAATGGGACTGATAACATTGAACACTTTGAGKGAAATYCTCAAGAAGGGATGGCCTGGGAGCTAGATCCCTTGATGGAAACAAATAACAAAATAACAAATAACAAATAACTTCAATAAGATCTATGAACGCTTCATTTACAAAATATGTGTTGGATATTTTTGATCTCGTAAATTTAATTAATTGTGGATTAATTTTGTCTTAGACACCGCATAATTTATAATATTCCCGGGGCGGTTTAGGACTTAGACGCCGGCTTGGCTTCGGTAAAAAAAATCCTCCTTTGAAAGCACGATTCCCATTGAACTGCAGGGGAAGTGTAGGCCTGCGGCAACATAATGGTTGTTTACTATATCTGGTTACAAAAAGCTCCATGAGATATTCTCACTTACTTAGAGAGCAGCAATGCAAAATACATTCTCAGTTCATTAAAGAAAATTTTCAGCTTGCACGATCGACTCGGCTCGATCAATTTTTTATCCATTTGGCGTATTTGAAATTAAAGGCGCTCAACTTGAAAAAGAGGGATTAAAATGAGAAAGACGTCGTTTATTGCTCAATCCTATCCGTCTACTAAAAGCTTACCAACACATCTAAAGTGTAGTTAGAATATGAGTATTTCAAACTCATTACACCATGTTCGAGCATGACAATGTTGCCTGACATAGTGTTGCGTTATTTATCTCCAAGGAAGACATTGTATCTTGCATAGAGCATCTTCACTTACATGAGAAAYGTTTCTTTTAAAGATCATTCCCTCCAGTAACGCAATCGGACTATTAAGTTTTTCGTAAGAAAGTAGTTGTAATAGCCTTTTTCGGAATTTGCGCACACTGATCATAAAAAGCTACACCCTCTCGGGTAARTTATTTGGCCCCTATGATACCTACTATACTACTTACTAGYCTCTYGTGCATTTGAATTACCATGTGATTCTCCAATGATTCCAATTGGTCACTGAGCTACGTTACGTGTATAGTAGTCAATTTATAAATAGTATAGATTCAATTTAATTAGAATATGTACCAATTTTGAAAACATTTTGGCTAGAATCCCAGACCCGTGTGCGTCAATCAAACGTTAAATCGTGATAGTGTGCATTACCACAAATTCCCAAAACGATAATATCTCACCAAGCGACCATCCACCCTTGCCAAACCCACGCACGTACACTTAAGCTTCGGGTAATTTCATACTAAAACGGATACGACGATATTTCGATTTAGAAGTTCCTATCGAGACGATTGGTAACTAAGCGACTCACCAATCTATGAAACTTGAAGAAAAAAGTGTACAGCAATTTGAAAACAAAAAACTGCACCACGCCGTTACTCACCCAAGTCGAAAATCCCTTTTTATTTTTATTTTTTTGAAAGGTTTAAAATTGAGTATTCTCAAGTATTCTATGTGTTGATAGCCGATATTCTCGCTCGCAACAAACAAAAGAAATTTATGTGGATGAAATCTCAACTATTGTCTTTGAATGGGGATCAAAATGTTTTCCTTGACATTGTTTAGCTTTCGGTCGTGTACTTTATCTCCGAACGCTCAAAAAAAAAAACGAATAAAATCGCCTATAAATACACCAATTTTGTAACTATAGCTATCAAAAAAATACAATCAAAATATCCAGTCTTACCTTCCTTATGATGGTAGAGTACTTTTTGTTTTTGCTTCTTTTCCTGGAAGTGGAACGAACTGTGCCACTTTAGAGCAGTGAACAATAACGTATAAACAGTGACAACTTTGAATGCAGCTTTCAATGTATAATGTCCACATGCAGTCTGATACGCCGCTGTGTAAAGTATCCAATTACAAGTCTAATACGATTTGAAATAGCGAGTGTTCGACCAACATCCTGATATGTATGGTCTTAATTCACTACGTATAGCCGCGACTAAACTAACAATACAATGGTCTAATGGCTTGTTTTTTCCTTCGTTTTGACTCATGCCAAGCTAATAACAACGAAAAAAACAATACGTTCAAATATGAATATGCTGCAGGTGGATGGGGAATAAATATTTGACAAAGTTGGAATTTACTCAGCAAGCCCTAAACAAACTAAATGTTTAAAGAAAGCAGAAAATGATAAATGTTAAATAATGATTGATACTCAAAGTTGAAACAGAATTTACAGAGAACGTCTGTATCTTAAAAAAAAAACTATATTTATGCAACAATACAACTGACAATACCACGCCAACAACGTCTCCACATGACGCCAGGATTCAAGTTTAATTTGTTGTTTTCAAAAGAACAGCTTGCCGTGTTTGATCTTGTTTGTATATACAACGGTGTTAAAAATAAAAATATTTTGCCACTGTGATAAGGAATACTGCAATTCTTCAGTAATTTCTTAACTTAGGAAATTTCTCAAAACAGAAATCTTAAGTTGCCCCTAGTTACCGTTCGTTCTTACGAGCGTGCGCATTGCGTTCCTACGCCTGTCATCTTGCGAAGAAATTTAAATTTAAAAAGCGTACATTGCTATTAACAAAGAATGATGCCAAAAATATTATTTTATTTAATACCAAGCAATTCTAGTGTTGCAAAACGTCAACTATTGATGCATTTAAATGTGTTATGCTTAACGATGTATTTCGTATTATTTAATGTTATGGACAAAATGTTTAATTTCATACTTAGCGCATTTGAAAAGCCGAACTTTCTATAAAACTTCTAGCAGTTTTAGTGCCTTCTGGGGATTTCATTGTTTTTTTCAGCTCACTGAATCGATTCTGAGCTGGAACAACAGAAGCCAAAGTTGCGCCCATATTGATAATATGACATCTTTATAGGAGAATAAGTCCAAGCTGATTCTACTTTCAACTAAACTCCTTTATTACGGACTAGTAACCATGCAGTCCCCTGTGATATAAATGGACTACATTTCTGTAAAATACTAAACATTTCTCGTATGTATCTTTTTAGTGTACTAAAATTTTCTTTTGAGAATACAAATGGTGAAAAAGTGCTTATTTAAAATCATGCACTTGAGGAACTATTGTTGTGCTAAATTTCACCTCTAAATATTATAATTTTGTTTCCTTAGAATCTTCAAAGGTAAATATTTGTATGTTATTATTGATATTAACGTACTTTTCTTTAGCAATACCGTTACACTGCCCTTTATTGTCAACACTGTTTGTCTTTTTCTCCCGCATACTCTTGTAATCTCTGTCATCATGTTTAATCAGTCGTTTTGTTGAGATGCTTCCATTTAAATCTGTCTTGTAGTATTTATTCAAAGAATTTCCAGGCGATGTTGGATTAGTGTCAGAGTTAAAAGATCCTTCAATCGATTCACATGAGTCTGTTTTCTTAAATCGAGTATTGCAAGTCCTCTTGGGACTGTCTCTCGCGATTGGAGGTGATCTGGTTCGAGTTGAGTTCATTTCGCTAAACCTCCCTTTTTTGATCGACCTTGACCGCATGTCCTCTCTCTGGTGCGATTTTCCACATTTGCAACGAATAATTGCTTTAAACGCTCTACGAAAGCTTATGTTACAAGCACCGTAAACGAGAGCATTCAGAACAGAGTTAGTGTATGTGAAAGCGCGGCAAACGAAGGCTACCAAGTCAATGTGGTCAAAAAGCTCTTGGGAGTTTCCAAAGTCGTAAAGAATCCACAGTATTTGATTAGGCAGCATGAAGACAAGGAAAATCATCACAATAACAAAGAACATCTTTACTGTTTTATCATTCTGTTCTTTACGCCTTTGAAGTGAGCACTGGCTAGAACCACTCGTTGTAGAATACTGGCTGATCTTTCGTTGGGGTGGATTTTTTTTCGAACTCATCTCTCCTGCTTTCCTTGTATTTTTCTGTAGCAAGCAACCAAGTCTGAAATAGATGTAGGTCATTATGACCAGCGGTATTCCGTATTGTATGGCGAACAAAAACACTGTGTAACTCTTTCTTAGTTGAAGCTCGGGCCAGTCCTCACCACATTGAGGCAGTCCATCCGGTCCATCTGGAGGAAAAAGCCTGAGGAATACTAAATATGGTGAAACTGCCAATGCCGCAAGAAAATATACAAATCCCATCACAAAGGCACACTTCCTTCTCGTTATTTTGTATCTAAAATTTAAAGGATGGCACAACGCTCCATAACGGTCAGCGGATATAGAAACAAGAGTGAATGCCGCAGATGTTGTTGTAAATGTTGCCAAAGGCCACAGGATCTTACACATCGCTTCACCATAAGGCCAGTACCCAAGCTCCTCGGCGGGCAAGTCGAATGGAATGCTTGATAAAGTAGTCACCAGGTCACACGCGGCCAAGTTAGCTATGAAGATATTTGGAACTGTTTTTAAACGTTTGAAAAATATCACTGAAAGAATGACGAGTGTGTTTCCAGTAACGCTGAACAAACAGATTAAAAGGTATATAATGAATTTGATCACTCGCAACTCGTTGTAGTTGGTAGCAGCAAACGACACGTTTCCATTCGCTTTTTCTGTCAAGTTGTTCATATTGAGACAATCAGTACTTCGATTTTCCAGAACTGTGTCGATGAACTCGAGCTAGCCTATATCGGTAGATTTATTTTGACCTGAAAGACAATTCAGCGTGTTCATTAATTAATAACAAGCAATATTAAGATGCAGCCTAGTCCCCAGGCATTCCTTGTTTCTGCATTGTAATAACGTGACTCTCTTGGGAACGCCTATCGAATAATGCCAAAATCCAAGATGGCGGACGAAGAGATGAGAAGGATAGTTTCAGCTCTAGAAGCATCTGTAGATCTCGTTTGACTTTGTTACCATGTTGTCGTGAATCAAATAAAAATTTAGGTGAAATCAAGTATAAAGAAATATAGGTAAATGAATCACGCAAAAACAAGGAAAAATTATACGTATTTTCATGCTAATCAAACGAAAACTTTTTCTTAACAATGTCGCATTTCCCTTGAAAACCACATGTGTGTACACTTCAAGCCATGTTTTGCTCTATTTTCAACTATTTTTTAACATCTTCTGATCAAGGACAAATTTCCTCAATCAGTGACAGATTTGGCATTTTTCGCTAGGCGTTCCTGGCGCTTACGCGCTCGCCCCAGGGCTCTCCAACTCAGAGTATAAGAACAACTGGGGACTAGGCTGATCAAGATGGACACTACAATCGTTGCCAAAATTCTTGGACCATTCAAGTGAATTTCCCTTAGCAACACTAACTGAAAAATTCATCCCCTCCTATCCCCCCATAAAATTCAACGTTGGAACAATGTTGATATTAAGATGCAACTCGACAATAGTTGCCAATCTTTGGACCATTCAAATACCCTATTTTAAATAAATAACTGACGAATGTAACCCCAAGTCAATCATACGCAATGTTGGAAAAACAGTTTGTCAGTTTGTCTAATTTATCGACGAAAATTGCATTATAACGAAACATAATTTCCATATTATCATAACTTATAAGACCCGAGTCTTTGTTCACTTTAGGGAGGCGCTTTATCACTTATATAATTTTTTCTCCGTCGTTTGATTTTCCCTAGGCCTTTCCAAATAAAAGGGAAAAAACTAAACATATCTCGAAACTCAAGTCCAGTGCATCTGAAGGCTATTATTTTGAGCTGGTGGAATAGAGACAAGTGTGTTGATACCCTACGCGTAGTTCAAAAACACCTCACACAAAGTTGTGTGTTCTAGCAACGATTTGATGACGGGAACAAATATTAAGATGCGGTAGGTATGATATGTCTTCCTTTTGTTAAAGAGATTTTGTCAAAAAAATCTCCCATAACTTCCTTAAAAAACAGCTGCACTTTTTTTTCCAAAAACATCATTCAGATACAATGAGAGACTATTCAGTGCGAGGATGTGATAAACAAAAAGGAAGTAGTTACTTTTTTTATAAAACAAAACTTAGGATAATGCAAAGTATAAGCTCAAATATTAAATGAATAAAATAAATTATGACTGAGAAAAATCTGCATTTCAAAAGAAAGTTTTATGTATTTTTAAACGCTTAAACTGTTCAAAAGGAACTAGAAGACGAAGAAATATTTCAATTTGCTATTCTAAGGCCCCCTGCCTAAATTAAGAGAATGTTAGTTTTAAACTGAAAGAAACGGCCGTGATGCGTTAGAAACGTGCTGTTGACAAGCGTTTTAAATGGGTACATTGCTTTATACTTAAAATTTTGTCTTTACGAACCAAACGTTTTCGTCACAGCAGATAATGTAATTAAACTGCACGGAGCAAAGAAATTACACTCTTATCTTTGGATTTTAGCAAAAAATGTTACTGTTTTTGAGCAAAAAGATGGTACTTTTCTTATCAACATATTTCAGTGAATTTGTCTTACCTTAGTCCGAAGCTATTGAGAGCTATAGTTCAAGGTTTTAGCATGCTCCTTGAGAGGAACACTAAAGAAGTATTATGTGAAAATCAGGAAGGGCAATATCGTTTATTATATCAATAAGAGCTAGTCTCAACACTTTCCTCTTGCAAAGAACTTTTAATAGTTAATTTTTGTTGATGAATGGTCGCTTAATTGCCTGAAGCGTTTTTTAGACTATGTTTTTATAATGTTATCCATCATATATTTATATCATTAAGCGCAACATTCGAAATACAAGCGATCTAAATGTACATTAAGATGAATTTTCAAACTATATAAAAACATTCCTTTTCCCATTTCAAGTTTCCTAGATTTCTCAGGACTTTACACTTGTTTTCAGGAACTTTTATTCACTCTGACTCGTAAACAAACCTTATTTCTTTTGACAAATAGTTATTAACCATTAATGACATGGTCAGTATGGGTGTTTTTAAGACAAAATAATTCTTAAAAAAAACTTTTAAGTTTAGTTTTATAAGTAATAGCGTATAATAGTTCTTAATGTTGGTGTTGAGCTTTAAAATATAAATTTTAGGAAACCCTAAAAATTGAAATTTAGAGTTACAATACTATAAAGGGCGTAAATATGACAAATTAAAGAATCCGGGCAAAACAAAATGGCCGTTAGTATTTGATTGAACATTACCACCCAAAGGAAAAGACATTGAAACGGTGGGAGGTGGAAGAGGTCTTGTAAACAAAAGTAAATAGCGGGAATTTGAAGAGCCATGTTTTTTTTAGCACAATATAACACTACTAACCTAGTTGCATACAATAGACAAAACAGATGCGAATCGTTACTTGCTTGTCCTTGCGTTTTCTTCTTCCTTCTCTCTCTTTCTTTTCTTTTCTTTTTTTTTTTTTTTTTTTTTTTCTTGTTACAAGCTAAGTTGTTAACAAGTAATAAGGCAAAGTTTGATATATGCCGGGCGTCGTGAGTATATTTAGCCCAGCTATCCATCGGATAAAAATTGCTCTTCGTACTGCAATTTATGAAGGGCGGCTTGAAGAAAATTAGAGGTGAAAATAATGGATTTGCGTTAAATTTTGTGGTTTGCGTGCTGTCCTCCTCAGTCAATACTTTTCACTATACAAGCTCTACAAGTAACAACTGATGTAGTCAAATGTAATTTGATCTTGTTTATACAATTACATTTTTCTTCCCACTGGTCGTGTATTAACTTTTCCAAATCCTCCGATCCTACGATCTCAGTCAAACCTTAGAACGTGAGATTTTGTGGCTAAAAATACTCCAAAGATGGATGTATTTTTGGATATGCGTCATATAGCCGCTGGCAAGGGCGACACAATAACAGAACGATCCCCTTGAGCATGATTTAGGACGTGAAATGATGTTTTTAAGTATTTTCTATTTTTATCATTTCAAGTCTATGAATACAAGGAATGAAAATTATAGCAACACACGACAATGCAATAAGGAAAAACATGCAAAACTTAACAAAAGAAACATAATATTTTTATAAATTGCACATGTTATGAAAACAGCGAGTTTTATAATACATTTTCGTTCTCTTCATGACAATATTAATTAATAATTGTTTACTTTTTTGATTTTTTTTTTCATACTTGGTTTTTCTTTTATTTGTTTTGGCTGCCAAAGACGATTTTTTTTCCCTCGTGGTTAAATTGTTCTTCATTGAAGCATTCATGAATCAAAGTCAAATCGTTCTCAATAAATGTTTTTTAGAAATATAACCACTAATTTATAAAAACGTTCTCATTGACGGGAATGCACGCAAAAGCTGACATGTGTCATGTTTTGGTCAGTGAAATACTTTGATCTCTTACATAAATGAAGCGTTACGGAAATCATTCTAATCTTATGAAGTGTTTATACAAAAAAAACCCCGATGTATTCCTATTTTTACAGTGTCCTAGCTTCTTGTTATGACTTGCAACTTAATAATCTTTCTTTTACAAGCAAAGATAGTTGAACTTTCCAATAATAATCTTTCAAAAGTTTCACACCCTTTACTGCAGCTAATGAATACACCGTACTTAAGTCAATATTAACATACGTATCGAGTGATATGTGTTAAAAAGTTTCATGACATACTTATATTACCTAACCTTCCAATCCACGTATATTGTTGGTCACCCTCAATAATTCTTGTTGTCACAAGATAAATCTGTATTTGTTAGTTTAACTAATGATGTAAAATCAAACTTCGACGAGCAACGAACTCTTTCTACAGTTCGCCTCTGGGTAAGAAAGTACTTCATTTATTAACCAAGTGTTAGCAGTGTTGGTGACGTTTTTTGGCATGGAGCATTATAAAATATTTATTCAAAGTAGAAAATAGCTTTAAACGGTTTTAAGGCTATAGTGGTGATTACAATGCTTGACCATGGCCTTTGTTTACTTCTTACACCAGAAACTATGCGGGAGATTTTTCATTCCATCATTAAGGAAGGCGAATATATAAGTCTGCTTATCAAAACACCTTACTGAGAAGATGCCGGATATATATTAATAAGGATTCTACGACGTTCAAAATACCAAAATAAACAAGCGAGCTAATAACAGCTTGCTTTCACACCTGGAAGTAATCCGGCAAATCACTTTGTCAGCTTATTGCTGAATTCTAGGAAACAAATATCTGAAAGATGACTTCGTATTTTTTTCATAGTAGGCGGTTAATGTTCATTTGAGGGCACGACCGAAAGTTATCATGGGTTACAGATCCAACTCAACCACTGCATAATAAAGAATAAAGCTATCGCCGCCATGTTGGATGACTGAACAAGACTGAGACTGAGAAACTAATGAAGAATTCTTTGTGATTTTCATCTAACGTGGCGGCGGTGACGTAGCTTGCACTCCAAGAATATTGATTACAAAACATAAAAACATCGTGTTGTAAGAGGTCAGCTGCAAAAGTTACGAGAACATCGATATATGTCTAATTACAAAAACATTGTCTTGAAATTTAGTGATTTACAAAAATAGAAATACAACAAAAGACAAAAAATGGCCACTCAAGATGAACATTTTTACAAAAAAAATTAAAAAAATAATGGTTAGACTTTTAGGAATAAATACTTTTAGGAGGAGTCTAAAAATGAAACGAGGTTGAAATTTAAAAAATATTTCAAACTAGCAAAATGTAATTAAAATAATCCTTCAAAAATAAATAGGAACTGAACACTGAACGTGTCAAGATGGCACAAGGACCTATGAATGACACTCTTTTTTACGCCATCTTAGCTCTCCATAGTGACTAGTTCCCGAGTAAAACACACTTAGAAACAAGACTACACTAAAGGCGGATGTGTATCAGAATAGTTCGATTGTAACTTGAGGGCATGTTTTATGTTATTCAAAAATGTTATCTTCAATATTTCAGAATTTGATTTTCATTACTTCAATGAAATTTTGCAATGCTTATATTTTTAGATTCTATTCATTATCTATCGATTATAATCGTCTTTTGAAATTTAGTAAACCGAGAGACACGTGCAAAGTTATTCCTTGTAAAAGTTTAAAGATGCGCTACATGCTAAATGAAAACAAATAAAATGAGGAAAAACCGCCGATTTATGCATTAAATTCAGCTTAAATCATATATTTGTTTGTTGTTTTTATTTTCCTTTTGTATGCGCATTATATCAATATGTTAAAATTGTGCAATGTAATTTATAGCTATCATTATTAATTCAGAATGTCCAACGGTGATACCTATGATAGCTGCGCTTTAGCTAGCAGAGCTCATAACGCAAATAGTTTGTCCACCAAGCTTGTTTCTTCGAATCTTTTTTTCAGAAAGAAAGTAGGCATATACAGTATGTATGTCGTCTTATCRACACACTGTAATCAGCTAATCAGCGCACGCTACACTTTTTCAGGTCGTATTATGACGTCAAGTGAGTGCCAATAAAAGAACATATGCAACTTAAAACCGCGCGCAATTTCTAAACTAGAATATTATGCTTGGATTGAAATATAGAAAGATTTCGCTTCTCTCTCAATAAATATCATTTAAATCCTTACGAAATGTTCTCGCGTTTGAAAACAATTTGAAAAGTACAATTGCCTAAAAGCAGAGATCACTATATTAGAAATGATACCTTTAGAAAACGCACTTTTGATCTTGTCACGATTTCAGGAAATTCGGGCGTATCGCAATTCTCAACATCGCGGACTAAACCACAATTAGCTAAAGTAAGCATTCAAGTATCTTCAATATGATGGTGTGTTTAAAATCATACCTTAATTAAGCTGCTCCACTTCAAATCCTCAGTGACAAAGTAAAGCGGGCGATAATAGGCGAAGTGGACGCTTATTCAGATTGGTAACTCAACCTCAAATTGCCAGAGTGTTCTCTTGCGTCGAACTGAAAATTACAGATAAAAAAAAAAAGATTTCTCAAATGCTATTAGGACTGCGATGACGTTCACAGCCAACCTATCATATCATGATAAATATTGATATGATAGACCAACTGAGCAAATATATTACATATTTTCAAAAATATCAAAACAAGTCTACAATGGACATAGACAGATTGCTATCTGTATACTGCTGCCAGAGGGCAAACATTCTGCAGCTGAAAGCAAATAGAATAAAGGAAGCTAAAGGATCATATTCATATGCAGTATTCCTTGTCAACTAGACTGTCTCTGTTTTTAATTAAAAGAGTTCGTGTATCCCTTAGAAAGTATTTGCACTAAATTTTTTGACATTTTCCTGTGGACAGTTTCATTTACCAGTATGATAGCGATGATAGATAAATAAACTCCTTTATCTATTAAGAAGTACATACCAGTTTAGATGTACAAAGACAGTAAAATTTTACATAAAGCTTGAAACTTTTCTTTCAAGAGCTCCTTTGTAGCTTTGTGTAATTCATAAATAGTTTCTAATTAAATTTCTAATGTTATGTTTCTTCCGATTATGATTGATACTCGATTTTCCACATTCCCAGCGCCATATTCCATTTGCATCAAAACGAGACGGTGTTTGAGCTTAAAAAAAATATTAATACCTGTAAATAATTGTCTTCGTCGGTATGATAGAAGGTATCTACCATAGCAGGTTCTAGCACTGCATGTAAATTGAATCTCAGTTGTAAAGCTGAGATCTATTGTGCTTTCTTAACACCCATTGCGTATTGAGATGTTAAGGTGAGATATTTTTAAAATTCAATATGCGAGAGATGTTAAGAAGAGAGAATTTTGGCCCACGGGGAGGGGGGGGGGGGGGAGGGGGGGGGATCCGATCCCTTATAAAAGTTGGTACGAGCATTTTTGACGTCTCTGACAAGAGAAATGCTCAAGTTTAACAAGACTGTAGAAAATTAATGTCGATAGATTGTTGAGGTTAATAAAATCTATTTCTTTATTAACACTTCTTCAATTTTTTTCACCGTTGTTCAAAAATTGACCCTAAAAGGTACCAGAGTCAGCTCAGGGCCCTAAAAGGTATCAGTATTGCTGAAAAACATCTGTCCCTTCTATTCCTCTTAATATTATGAAAATCCATAACCGTAAATTTTTAGCTTAGCTTTATCACTTAGTAAATTGAGAGCTGACAGGATTCCACAGTAAAACTATATATATTTTATATATCAATACATATCTTAACCCCGGATATTCGAATTTTAATAACATAGAATCGAATTCATGTGCATAACAACTGAAGAGTGCAAAATACTGATAGCGAGAAAAAGTACTAATTAGTGCTAAATACCAAAATATAGTGTAAGTTAGAAAATAGAAAAGAAGATAGTTCGCATAATTCACTACAATTTAGTAATATTTATCTAAGTTCATGGTTCACTATAGTGTTTGCACACTAGAGGTAAAAAAATGTCTACTTACTTCTGCGATGAATATCTTTGGTGGCGTTATATAACCATGCGTATTCAAAAATATGAAAAATGTTTTATCCTGGAAGCTTTAAGAGCCTAAAAACCATTTTGAACCAAACTTGGCGACTGTATGTGATGTGTGATCGATTCAATTGAAGACTCTGATATAGCGACACCACCAATATATGAGATGGGGTTAACCGTGAAAAATTAGCCGTTAATCGTAAAAATGAGAAAAATTAGCCGTGAAACGGCTGAAAAATTAGCCTTGAGTCGTGAAAATTAGAAAAGATTAGCCGTGAGGCGTGAAATCGCCAAATCTTTAGCCGTGAGTCGTGATGCGGACCCCCCCATTGAGACCCTCATATATTTATACATATTTATGCATAAAATCACCTTGACTTTAAAGCGAAAACATATAATTCATGCAATATTCACGACTGTGCACGAATTAGGCTACTTCATACTTGCCGATAACATTATTAGTTGAGCTATAATATTGATAATGATCAGATAATATGTTTACATAGATGGAATATGGCACAGTTATCTGACAAAAGGATAGTGTGATTGTTTTAGTATTAATAATATTTTTTTACTAGATACCGATCTTGCTGGGAAGAATGTGCACGTGATAAAAAAAACGCTGATGTTGATTTTATTTGTTGAATTCATCGAATTAATCGTCGTAGAGATGAATCGAGAAAGATGGACCATGCACCGTTTTATCAAACGAAAAGCGGGAACTTGCGCAACGATTTTCTGCTGGGGATGGGGGAGTACCTTATAGTCCCCTGCATAATGTTTTCTCAACAGGAGGCTAAACAGATGAGTAAGACAGGTGAGTCCSAGCCTATCCTTTGCATCACTCGACTGAAACTCTCTACTGGTCACAATGCTAAACAGCTTCGTGATATCAAAGTATCGCAAGACCATCTATTTTGCGCATGGCACGCAGTCTCTTGTTGATATTGCACACAACAATTCCCTTCGAGTGGACGTTCTAAAGGCACATTGGCAGTCAGGGAGAAGGCAATTACTTGGTGGAGAGCATCTTGCATATTCCATGCACAGGGGTAACATTTCGCGTACAGCGTGATGTTGAAGTCGATCATTTGATGATCGCGGTGACGAATTGATGGCATTCATTACGAAACTGAAACTTAGTTTTATTAACTTGTAATATCACAGTATGTCATGAGCTAGCTCGTCACGATAACATGTTTAATATAGGACCCCCTACGCTATTCACTAGTGTAATATACATTAGCTACAAACAACTGCAAAAACATTTCTTTGAACTGATGAGGTAGGAAACGGCCATGAATCAGATTCGAGAAAATTACACTAGCATTGGTATATATGAATGATGTATAAGAGCAAGAAAAGGTACATGTTCGAAGTGAAAGTACGCTAAGCTTCTTATTAATCACTTAATTAACACATTAAAAACGTTGTCACGGATTTTAGTTATGCCTCTAGAAAGACTWAAAGAAGGCACTGCTACTTAACTTGCAAGAAGCTGCTATCAAACTTGCGATTCTTATAGTTGTTATTGGGCTAAATTAACGTCGTCTTTGATTACTAAGAAAAACAATGTCTTTGATACGAATTTTCTAATTATTGTAAAAACCATTAAGAACACAATTAAAACACCATAAAATGTTGTCACATTTTTTTTTGCCTCTTAAATAGGGACTAAAAATTCATAAACATGAATTAATATAAATGAGTTTGAGCGAAAAAAAAGATAGCGGCTTTAGAGTGTTTCTGCAGCCGGGCTTTGGACCGGACAATAATGTTATGTCAATGTTCGGGTTGACAATGTTCGGGTTGACGCTGCGTGGACGAATATATCCATATATAGAATCTGTTCAATCAATTGAAATTGAGATAAACTATACCTTTTGCTAACGGATCCCTCTAGAGCATTTACTTGATTGAAGACCACGATAATGCCGTGGGCTATTAAACGAGCAGATCTTCAAGGTTATCGTGCCATGATTTCATTCTATAACTTTTTCTTTTCTTCTTACTTCTTAAAACTACTTAGTTATTACGTCATCTGGAGACTATTGCCCGGAGCAATGTTCGAATTTCCGTCTTTAAAAAGAGACCGGCGTGCCGTGAAGTCTGCGTCTTACCACTCTTCTTCTTCTTGTGGTTATTAATTATATATTTTAACAATAATCAGTAAACATTGACTGGGCACTACTTTGTACGATCTTTTACCAAATAAAAACAAATTTTCAATTTATAAGATTTGATTATTTTAACGGATGTTCTAAGAAAGCGAGCGGCGTAAATGTCGGGATACAACCAAAATGTTGATCGTCGGAATTCTCTGGTAAATAGTCATAATATAAACTAGAAAAGTAGCAAGATTTGATCGTTTATTTCCTCAGGAAGTTTTGTCTACCATTTGTCTCTAGTGTGATTGAAGAAATGCAAATCATTGCTTTCGTCGCCAGTTGTCTAAGAACTAAATTTTGTCAGGTAGAAAATACATATTTTGCAGCTATTTTCTATCTATTTTTATGCATTCATTTCATGCAATTGAAGTTCTTTTCTGCTCTTGCACAAACTTAGTGGCCAGTTCTTCTTGGCTATTGGTAAATTCGTCATTTTTAGCCAGTGGGAGGATATTTTCTTCTTGTTCTTGATCATCTGGATAATAAAATTCCTCTTCATCGTGTTCCTCTACAGTCATATAATGCATATTAATTTTGAGCGATACCAAACAACGAAATGTGGGAAAAATAAGTAAATTTAAGTTTTGACAGCGGTCCGTAAAAATCTGTAACGCCCGTGTGCGTTACAAGAGAATTCCGGCCCTCTCGCGATAGCCGAACAACCAATCACACTACGATAAATTTTTATGCCATATAATAAAAAAAGTAATGTTTGTTTTCTGAACTTTTGGGAACTTTTAATTAATTAATATATAATTGATTTTCATTATTATATTTATAAGTTTAATAGATAGAAAACTATTTCAAATATAATATGTCTGAAAAAATTCAGGATCTTTATATTTCGTTTTGTACGTTTTTTAGTGGCATATTCTTTCATCTGTTTCGACTATGGTTATAGAATGATTGGTCCTTTTATAAGTATAGTTTACAACATGAGCGGCCGTGTTGTATGGGAATTACAATCTCGAGCCGCAGGCGAGAGATTGTAATTCCCATACAACACGGACGCGAATGTTGTAAACGACTTATAAAACTCCAACACAAATTAACATGAATTACAGTGAGATAAATTACGAAAAATGACAAATAAGGTAACTGCTGAGTTTAGTCCCTATTAAGCATGCGCAATTTACTGCAACAGAGAACATTTTGAATAATTATCCATCCCACATGGAAAGCAAGCCATCTGCTGCATAAGCGAGTTCTGTTATCATCCTTTGATTGCTTCAAAACCTAGTGAAGGTCTATGATGCGACACTAAAACTGAGACCTTTGCTATAGTGTTGGGTTGTCTCAATGGTGACGACCGTGTTGTAAATCTGATACAACCACATGTGGTTGTATCAGATTTACAAGGTCAATCACCTGATTAAATGGTCAGCCCTTATTGGAGCAATAGCTTATACATTATTAATAAGTTTTATAAAGGGATATACTACTTCTTATTACATCACACGTGCAAAATGTTTTTATTTACCCAGCCCCCCATAATTGGTTTGATCATATAATTATCTATGAAATACCTATATTTCTCCATTTCGTAAACTTGATATCTTCACTAGTGAAAATAACATTACATGGTCGCTTGGAGATACGGATTTTTTTTTCGTTCGCTACGCTCACTCGTGAGAGATCTTTTCAACACTCGAAGATAAAATCCGTATCTCCGCGCGCCCATGTAATATCCTCTATTTATTACATAGAGATATACTACTCCGTGCTATGCAATGAAATCTAAATGGCTTGAGCTTTCTTGTATCCTATGAAATCTCAGAAAATATCCAATGAGAAACGTTTCCGCGATCTGGAGGTCTTTTTTTATATACCGCTATCTCAAAAACAAAAAACAAACATTTTTTACTAATGTGTACAGATCCTCGCAAATTGACTAGAGACACTATCAACATTTTTCTATATCCTGTTCTTTGGGAAGTAATTAATCACAAATTAGGATGTGCCTCTATTGGAAAGAATTCAGCACTTAATAAAATGTGAGCTTTCGATATATTCAACATGTTATTGAATGGATAAGCAATCATGACGAAAAGCTAGATTATCTGTCGACGCTGGTTTTCTGAATTTGAATTTGCGCGTAACGACTTGCTAGCTCTTTATTCTACAATTGTAGCTACATTAAGTTTCGATATGTAGAGAGTTTAAAATTTTCAATTGAGAAATAGCTCTTACCTTATGGTGTTATTTCTTTGCCGAGGAACTTAAGGTCTCTAAAGATGTCTTTCTAAGTTTTTTCCTTTCTTGTGCAAAGCCTCGAAAACTTTTAAAACCATCATCATTTATATTGGAAACGTATCAAAAGAACTGCGACATTGACGTACCGTATGCATATGCATAAATGGGAATCGCGCGCGTCGTTGTGTGAATGCTAAATCTTGACGCATTAACAGCCTTACGTGTTACTATAGTTTCTGATTGGATAATTGTTGCTACGAGTGTTATAATTATGATTACAATGTGATAAATTGCAGGTTCCTTACACAAGTAATTATTGGAAAAAAATGTTTTCACATACTGTAGCTTAGTCAATTATAGAAAACCTCTTAAAATACATCATATTTGAGTTTACGGAATGTGTAGCCATTTCCATTGTGTAGAAATGTTTCTATATTCTTGTGAAATCTCTGTCAAATTTCGAATTATGGCCAAAAAAATACAGCTTGCAGCATCTCTATTACCTCAAACTTTTGAAGTTCTTAGGGCTTTTGGTTTTGCTACTTGTGGCTCAGTTTCAACCGATCAATCAACTTCACTTGGCCTATTTGAATCATCAATAGACTGGAGATCTGTCGAGAAATATATCTGAATTCAATTGTTTTTAAATGGTTTTTCTATTGGTAGAAGAAAAAGCCAAAACCGTCAAACGAACGTTTTCGTTTTCGCTGTAAGATCTTGTAAAACTGTAAACTTGACTACATAGTATTCATCTAGAAAGCAGTACATAATCGATCTTTTTTTTAAAGAATTAATACGTACCTATGATGTTGATTAAAGGAAAGGTATGGACTATCAAGTTACAGCTTTGAGCTAAATTTGTAAAGTCAAAATTGAATTAATTTAGAATATATATAGTTGAAAAAAATTGTTAAGCATGGATTATAGCTCGCTCTAATTTACCTTGATCTATTGCGTGTGGTCAGATACAGTAAAGTGGATACAGTAGTCACTTTCAAACTTAGAGCAAAAATTGGATTTCGACATGATGACAGGTCTCGCTGTGAAAGTTGTAAAATTTATATTGAAGTTGCAGGTTCTTGATCACATGCAAAGAATTCCAAGGCAATTTACTCTAATATTTTTCCCTTTTTGGTTATTATCACTAATTGTATTGAATTTGGAGCATGTAGCGGACTCGGCTTTTGAAAAGGAAGAAAACAGTAGCAACGAAAGATCACGAAAGATTGGACAATCTTGGATCATCGACGCATTTGAAAATTCTTTTGTGCGCTAAGTTCAGATGGATAATTACTACAACAAGAACAAATTGAACTGAATAATTTGTATTGAATGCTACACATTTTATGAGGTTTGAGCATAAATAGTTCACCTTTATAAACTCTAATCCTATTGGTCTACGCACTGCTTTCAGTATTTGTGAAAGAGGTACACACTTTTTAATTAAAAAAAAAAATCGCTGTCGGGTTCAAACACGTTACGTCATTGACAGACTAATATGGCTAAATACTACAATTGTATTTTGGTAAAAAAACTAATAGCAGGTTTTTTTTCCAAAATACTGTCAAATTATGAACTTTCCGGAAACTTTCGTCGTTTTGCAAAAGAAGGATGAGGTTCCAACCACTTCAAAATGGCCCCGGATACCAATTAAATTGGAAGACGACCGATCCAAGATGGCGAAGCAAATACCTTGCATATATACTCGTTCACATTAAACTGGAAAGTCGCTAAACGTTTACAACAAATGTAATAAAAATAGTTGGTTCATTTGTCTTTTAGTCAAGAACTATACATACCGACTTTAAGAACATTTCCTTTGTATGATTTTTTTATAGTTAATCACTATATGATTTTTTGCATTACTGTTATATTATTCGAATATACAGCCTTTTGCAAAAATTATGAGAATTGCTGAAATATATAAATATCATAATATCAAGTGCATGGTCCCGCGCGATGCCCTTCGTCCCTTGTCTTTGTTGTTTAGTTTTTTCCGGCGACGGACTTATCCGTAGTTCTGAACATTTTCTCGATGTCAACAATAAATTATTCTAGCAAACTCGCGTGTTCCGGACAATATATGGATATGGATATTATGATATTTAGATATTTAGACAATTCTCATAATTTTTGCAAAAGGCTGTACTGACTTAATCTTCCTTCATTCTTTCTAGTTTTCTTATCAAAATAACTTTTAAAATTAACAAAATAATTTTCCATATACTTAATAACTGCAATGCTGATCTCTTGTTTCTTAAAGAACATTTCCGTTGACGATGATTTTTCCGTATAAGATTATTATAAAGTTTCGTCCGCCATATTGTCGTTTTCGAAGTGCAAATCAGGAGATCAGATAAACTTCTGAATGTATTCTTACCGCTAAAGTTCTCGTTTTCTTTTCCTCGTGACAAATATATGCGAGCTTCTGCGAAAGGCATGTGACGTGCGTGATATAGGGCTTCTAGTTCGTATCATAATATTAGTGATGAAGTATGATGATATTTCATATTTCATTTCCTATCATGCTGTGCAAGGGAAAGTGAACTTAGAATACATTGGCGACTAAACTACTAAAAAATTTAGCTTTTAACCATGTACTCACCATTTAGAACAGTGTCATTTCGCTATCCCGCGCTTCAAAAGGACAACAGTGTTTAATATATCTTATATAGTTTTTGAAGTATAGCTGTAGTAACTATGGTTTCGTATGTAGTTTGGACCAAAAACGCCATAAGCCGGAAATGTGGACCTTAAGACTTTCAAAACTATAGAGTAATTACTATCTTTTTGTTTACAAACAAGTTGAAGAAAACAAAAAGAGAAAAACATATATTTTGGTTAGCATTTTCAACAGTTTTGCCACGGAGAATTTTGTAATGAAATTGATCATGGCAGATTTGATTTGCATACACCAAATTGCAAGAATATATTGTGGTGTCATGTGGAGAAGTAAAGTTGGTGATTTAATTAAGTGGAAGTTATCTCTGGTGAGAATAGAGCAGTGCTGGGGTCAATTTATCTTATTTTTTTTTCAATTATTTCTATAGTGTATCTTCTTCGTTTATTTTATCTATTTATTCGTTCATTTATTTATTCGTATTTTTTTTTCATTTCTTAATGCACACATCTATCTCACCTGCGCACAGCAAGCAATTGAAGACGACATTGCCGTTAGGGCGCAGTAACATCAATGCCTGTTGCTCAAGAGAGCCCGTAGTTTTTGGCCCTTTTAAAATCATCTAAAACGCATTATGCAGTAATTATTTGACATTTGTCCTATGTATTCATTTCGTTTAATCTAATAATCAATTTAAATTGAATATATGCATTCTTAACATGGCCCACGCATTTTGAAGACATCAAAAACAATTATAGAGCATAAAACTGAAGCATCTTTAAGCAATTTGCAAAGCCAAGAGGTAACTCCTTGCATCCGTATCAACATCACCAAGGTCCAAGCATCGGTTCCATAACATATGACATAAATAATATTGAAATTGATAAATAATATATATAAAAGCGAAAATCCACTGATAAAGTGCCTTAGTCAAGTTCTTATATACTTCATAAAACTAAATTAAGTACTTCTTCATCAAAAATGAGCTCCAGTCTCTAACACCAACTAATTATGATGCCTATTATATAGTTTGTAAAAGGACGAATATCCATTTCAATTCTGTGAACTTAGGAAAAGACCCATGGCCAGTTTACAATTTCAAGTCACATATGGTGACCGAACTGGGAAAAGAGCCAGGACCACATACAGAGGTGACCAGAGTTGCTCGACTTGATCTTAATTGTTAAAAATCATTTCCAATACTTGATCATTATCAATTCCCATTTTACATGACGCAAATGTTACCTTTTATCGTTTTACTTGTTTTTGACTTGATTTGATGATGGTATTTCATGCTATGTGAGATGGAGCATATTGCAGCCGAGGTGCTTGAGTCGTACAAGGACTTCTTTAATTATCCAACATGCACTACTCAATGTTGGGTCTCCCAAGTATTCGTTGATCAAACATTTGGTCCAAGTTTTGACAGTTATAGGAGTGCTCATCAAATATAAACGGATAAATGTCAAATTTGAATAGCTGTTATTAGGATGCTACAAATATTTTATTTCATGAACTGCGGCATCAAATATGGCCGCTCCGACATCATATAATAGTCTTCTTCACGGTCATCGAAGACGACCGTTAAGCGTCCAATGATAGAAACCTTTCGCACCGACAGAAAATCTATCTGGTATCTATCTTTGCACGCTCAACGGTTGTCTCACTTCGATTTAAAGATACCTTCAAGATGACAAAGGTTACCGTAAAGGAGACTATTGATGGTGTCGGTCTCAGTTGATGTTGGAAGTCCAGAGCATCAAACCTGGACATAAAACTATATAAGAGCACCTCTCAGCACCCTGTCTGCTGGAAACGGCTCCTAAAGCCGACCTGACAACGTTTAGATCTTTAAAAAGCCTCCACTATTGTTGGTCCGAACCAGCATTGTTGGTTCAGTTCAACACTTTGGGTGGCCAACTGCCTAACAACTGCCTCTAGCATCTTTGATGCTCCATCCAACAAAACACAGCACTATCTTTCAAGGTGGCCAGCATTAACGTTGTTCGATGATAAAACATTTCTCGATTAGCGCACGGTCTTTTAGAAGATTTTGATAATGTTGACGCAGACCCTTTTGCGTAGCCCCCAGACAATAGATTATACGTTCTAAGCGCCTTAATTACTCTTATCTTAAATCCACAAATCCAATTATTATTGCTATTAGGTATTATCGGTGATGGATTATCAACAACAAAGTGCTTGGAAAGAAATATGCAATAACAATGAAAAAAAATATACACCTACTTGCGAAAACGTTGTCATAGAAAATAGGACATTTGTATTTAGTCAAAAAGGAATAAATTAAAAAAAGACAAAAGAAGATCACTGAGGCTGAACGCTTTCTTTTGTCTTGTTTTAATTTATTCCTTTTTACTAAATTCAAATGTTCTATTTTCTATGACAACGTTTCTGCAAGTAGGTGTATATATATTTACCAAGCAGCGAAAAGTTGTCTGAAAATTTGTAATCTCAGCTTGACTCTCAGTTCTAGAGTAGTATATATAGTGCTGCTGAAATCCAATATGTTTGATAACAATCCTAAACTGGCTTGAGAGGCTGTTAATTGGGAGGACGATGGATATAAAACATGCTTCAATCTCTGAACCCATCGAGTGCATCTGATCAAAACGAATGATACTTCACCTAATACAGATTACTGACCAGGGAATAATAATTTATAAATAAGAGATTACTCGAAGAGAGTTTTTATTGCATTAAATTAAAAACCTCTTCTAAAATAATTAGACCGCTACCATATCAAATGTATATTGTTCTTTCCTTGATGCGAAATTCGTATACCTTTGAGGTTAGTGTACATTAATTTTTGTTGTACTCTGATCACATTGCAGTCATCGTGCAAGAAATAAATAGCTGTTTATTTTCCAATAACAATACGCAAGGTTTTGCACTTACCCCGAAGACGTATATCAGTTACAAAGTAACAATTTTCAAATAAAAAGTTATTATTGTATTTTGTTTTCAAATTTTTATATACAAGGAGTAATGCTAGATTCGCGGCCATTTCATGAAATCACAGGACTGCATAGTGAAACCTCGGATGCCATAAGGGAAAAGACATGTCGTTATCATTCATAGTTCTTCATATCATAATCTCACTCCCAACCAATAATCTTTAATTTACTGTATGCTTATGATGGAGGAAAGTCAGCTACCTCCATCATATATTTATGCATCGTTGTCACCTTAAGAGCATAAGGGCAGTATGCACTTATGCTACAAATAAAAAATTTGAATATCGACCAGTATGTAAACCCTTTTAAATACAGTTTACTTACGTTTAAAATTTGTCTTGTCACTCTTTTAGAATCTATTTGCGCGGCGAAAAACGTCGGATTTTAGTGCCTCTTGACTTTCAGAGATTTTATRCCTAGAGGAATGTGAGTGCAGTCTTATATGAACCTTGCCTCTCTGGGGTAAAATGTTCATCCACTTCGTATAGAGGCTCAAAACAATTCTTGTCAGATAGATCGAGTCTATGACAAGATCACTCATCGCCCACCTTTGAGTTATGATATTATTATCTCTGATGGTAATTGTAAAACGACATATCTGAATATTACCGGATGTTAGGACGGAGCATGCAAACTTATAATTAACGAGCTACAATCACGAAACGGCAATTACGATCTGATATAATTTTAATGACTTTCGAAGAGGAGGAATTCTTGCATTTTATAGTGTAAGCTTGATAGTCGGAATCTTTTGGAAGTGACCTCAGAAAGGTAYCCTAAGATTATCTCGTGTACTGAGSCGTCATTATCGYGGAATCTTTTTCTTTTTTATTCTAGTGTATCATCGATGTCTGGAAATAACCTCTTCGAGAACAGCATCACGGGTGGCCATCTGAACATCTTGAAGTAATTGGTTGGTCATTTTGTGGCTGAG